AAGGCAGGGAAAATAAAGCGCATCAGTAGACTGCAGAGGACAATCAATTAGATTCATTATCTGCTCTACATTCCAGTCACTTCTTTAAAAAAAAAAAGGGGGGGAAGTACATAATACCATGGCAACAGTTTGAGCTGGAGTCCTTTATGGTATATAATCATTAAGGGTTCTTCAGCATTCCCTGAAAATGGATAGGGGAAAAAAAATCACAGTGGTATACAAACTACCTACATTTATGCTGATTAAATGACAAGTTTGTAATTTACAGGTGTCTTATTACCAGGGGAATGCAATCATACAATTCCATTTTAGAACTCAAGGGCTTTTGAAACATGCGGCATGATTGTTAGCTGGGGCTGCAAAGCTACGATTAGATGGAAAGGATGGCATGTAGATTTTTAGAACATAGTGTTGACATTTACTGGCCAATCAAATTCTGCAGCTCTCCTGCATGACAGCAGATGTTGACCTTTCAAGCTTTCCCTATCTGCTCTCACGCATTACCTGCAGAAATTAACATTAACTCAGCTTCCTGCTCCATGCTGCTAGTAATGTCATCTGGGAATTGAGATTCATGAATTCAGTTATTACCCAGGCTTGAGACCCATTTTAAACTCTAAGCACAGAAGTACAGCTCCTGGGAACTGGTATTTTTGGATGCTACTTCAACTACCTTTGTGGTTGAGGGATAGCTGGGAGCTATGGTGTAGGAAATGTCACTGAGAACAAGAGGAGAAAGAGACAGAGGAGGACAATTTCAAGGAGAAACCTAGAGGCCAAATGATTGCAAATGCTCTGGATAGGAAAGCTTAAAAACTAAACTGATACATTTTAAGCAAGGCAAAGAGTATGGTAGTTGAATTTTTCTCATCTTGTTAACTGAACCATGAAAATGGACCCCAAATAATAGTATCTGATTGTAGTAAGCTTCAGGGTTTTCTCAATAATGCCCGGAGGCCTGTATCTATATGGCTTGGAAGGGAAAAAAAAACAATCTGGGGAAGATGTGTCATAGGCAATCCTTAGGAGGTGGATGCCTGATAAGGCACTGCTTTTTGTGGTCTCACTTCAGATGAAAGTCCTTGTATTTCTTGGCACCTGGTTCCAGATACTTTTCTTCACCTGTTGCTGGCCAGGGAAGCTAAACATCCTAAATGTTTGAAAGCTCTCTTTCCTCTCTCCCTTCCTGAATACGCTTACCCTCTCTCCTCCCCTTCCTCAAAACCTAACCCTTCCCTGATTCTCCTCTTCCTTCACTTTCCCTCCCAGCTCTCCATTGCCCCACTCTCCTTTTTTCCTCCAATCTCCCAGTACCTGTATACTTTATGTACACATACCATCAGCTATAGTTAGGAAAAACCCAGGGAGCATGTAATAAGTTTGGAGTTTCTTTTAATCATTTTTCAAGGTCAGTTAAGGATCACTCACTTGGGTTTTCTACATTTCTTATTGTTTTCTTCTTTTTGGTCTTTGAAAAACATCTAAGAAGTACTGAGTCATGGTTCTTTGGAACTATCCCTTTGAAAAAATAGCAAACCCATTTGTCAGCCATGAGATAGGCATATGAGGGCTACTTTCGTGACATTGTTCTGACCTACATTCAGAGAAATGCAGCTATTCCATAGTAATTTTTGTGTTTAAGCCATAATATCTACATCAATTCTTTCCAGTGTGTGGGGAAACCTACGGACAGCAATCAACACAGGTAAGGACTATATGAGTGTGATTAGAGAGATCACCAATCTTTCCCTCAAAGTATCTCCTTCACTCCCCCCCCCAAAAAAAATAAGGGGATGTAAGAAGCATGTGTTATAGTGGAAAGAGAACTGGATTTTAAGTCAAAGGACTTTGGTGGTTCAACCTTTTCCTTAAATGAGTATCTATGACCTTGGGCAAGTCTCTTAATTTCTATGGGTCTCAGTTTCCTTATCTGTAAAAATGAGGGAATTGTACTCTAAGGTGTCTAATGTCTTTAGAGCTGTGATATGGGATTCATTATTTCATCATCATGGGGAACTTGCAGTATGAGAACTACACCAAGTCCTAGTGAGCCGCTTGAGGAATACAGAAGTTAAACAGCTTGTCGGGGTCACAAGTGTGAATTATTTTAATGGAGTGACTTCCTCCTCAATGTTAGAGAGACCAGTATGTTTTAGGAGCATCAGGTATCTAGATTGGAGAGACATGTTAAGATGTGTTGAAAGTTATGTTGACTCAGTATTCCATTGTTCCCAGACCTGCTTATCAATCATTGTTAAGGAAGGAAACACTATGTCTGCATCTTTCTGTTACTACCTGCTCTTCATCATGTACCCCTGCCTGCACATTGTCATTTTCTTGCTACCTAGAGGAGGAGCTGATATTGGGAGGGTCCACCCTCTTTTGCTGAGGTAGACCTATCTGAATTACCTTAAAGTTATCTATAAAAACTGTTCCCACCTTGAAGCCATTGCTGATCCTCAGTGGTCAGCCCATCAGTGTGTTGCTACCTTGGCCTACTTATAACAAAATAATTTTAGTTCTCTTTGTCCTGAGTTTTGCCTCATTAATCAGGGTGAAAGCTCAAATCAAGAATTTTCCTTTCAACAGACAGAAAGACTACATGAAAGGTGGGTTAGACTGCACATTCCCCAACATAACACTTGTGTCTTGAGGATTGCCTTGGCTAAGACAGAGCATATGTAACCTTCTCATTTGTCTGAACTAAGTGTATGGCAATCAACCAACTAAAAAAGAAAAATCAACACTTACTAAGCACCTTCTATGTTCCAGGCACTGTCCTAGATCCTAGGGATGCAAAAACAAAAATGAAACAGTCCTTGTTCATAGAAAACTTAAATTCTATTGGGGGAAATAGCATGTACATATGCAAGTATGTATGAAATATAAATATTATGTGTGTATGTGTGGAATATAAGTATATGGAATAAATCTAGAGCCATTGCAGTGCAGGTTATGGAAGAAAAACAGTAACTGTTGGGGGTGAGATCAAGAAAGAGTTCATGGAGAAGGGGGTATTGGAGATGAATCTTGAAGCAAGTAAGGAAACAAGGGATACTATATTATGAGGTGGAGGTATGGGAGGAATTGCATTCCAGGACTGACGTGGCTTGAGAAGACTAAAGATTGAGAAAATATCGTGAGATTTGGCAATTAAAAGCCCATTGGTAACTTGGAAGTTTTAGTGTTTATTGAGTTTGGAGTTTCATTTCAATGATGAGGCCAGAGGTCAGATTTCAAAAAGTTGAAAAGTGAGAAAAGGAAAAAGAATGGAAGCGATGGGTTTAGATAGCTTTCCCTAAGAATTTGTCCAGGAAAGGGGGAGGGGGTTAGATATAGGATATATATAGTCTAGTGAAAGCTTTTTTTTTTTTTAAAGATTGGAGAGATTTGGATACATATGTAGGCATCAGGGGACCAATTAGTATTTAAGGAAGGATGGAAGGTTAGAAAGGTAGGATGACTGAAGGGGCAATCTCCTAGAGAAGATGGGAGATATTGAGATCAAGGACACATGTTGGCCTTGGTGAATTGAAGGGCAATCTTTATTATTAGAGACTGGAAAGAGTGGGGTTACCAAGGGATTTTGAGATGAAGAGAAGGGGAGAAGCAGCCTCTGTTTTCTCAGTTAAAGTCTAATGTGACATCCTCAGCTGACAGGGGGATGGGAGAGAATGAGACGAAAGATTTGAGGAGAGAAGTGGAGATCTGGAACAATATCTGTGGTGAGTGGGATATAGATTCAATTACTCAGGAGTAAATATATTGCCTTGCTGCGGTGAGGGTCAAGTTGGGATTTGATAACATCAATTTGTCGGGGACCCAGACAGCTAAATATGCTAAAGTTTGTTCATTGGTTCGTGTATATTTAAGGTCAAATCTAATTTATCTTGGTCCTATGTGGGTGTCTTTTTTTTTTTAATATGAATAAGTACTTTAAATTAAGGCTTCTGCCTCTTCCCATATGATTGTAAGAGTGGTTATTATTGAGATGTTTTGGTGCTAAAGATTTTCTTCATGTTTATTCATGTTTTTTTAAAAATGTATATGTGTGTGCACACCAGCAATAAGAAAATCAGATTTTTTTTTCATTATTGATATATGTTTCCAACCTAGTGGTTCACTGCACTGATCGTTGATGAATAATAGATCTCATGATAGCGTGGGCCAACTAAAGGGATTTAAAAATTGTGAATCCAGGTAAATCTTAGTATTAGGGAAATAATTTCCCTACCTATTTGTGTCAGGTTTTTTTTTTTTGCTTTGTTTTTATAACCATAAATCTCAGCTATGACTTTATATAGTTTAAATGTAGCAGGGATCATCTTTGAAAACTAAACACTTAGTCACATGTCTGACCTGGGGACGGTTTGAGAGAGAACAATTTTTCCATAGGTAAAAGTTTACTTGTCTTGAAAATTGTATGGCCTGTTCCCAGCATGCAATGAGTTAGAGAGGGGGAAAAAACATAGAGACAGGATGGGAAAGTTAAACAACTTATTTAGTTCTCCTAAATCTGGGCATCAGATAGTTATCAGGCAAACCCCAACTTCAAATATTTATTTGTTTTTAAACAAATATTATAAAGTCAAATATCTAAGAGAAATTCTGAAAAAAAGAGAAGTTCATTTAGAAAAGGTATTTCTTGGCATACTCCTATTGGCAGAAAACATCATATTGATTGCCACAGACCCCCAAACACTACAGAATTCTTCAGTGAGCCCAGTTGTAGCTCAAAAGAAATCATTCTGGCCATTCACATTGGGAAAAATGATATAAAATGCTTATATACGTTAGCTTTTGAAGCTCCCTGTAGCTTTCTTAGACCAAGCTCTAGCTCTTCACCCTATCCAGGCTATGCCAAAAGACACAGAGGCCTCTGATGATATCAGATCTGCTATTTGAATATTTCTTAGAATTCTTCTGTTAACTGCTTCTCTCTTTCAGAACTCTCGAATTAAAATTCTTTGTAACTGACTTCTAAACTGAATTACCATATACAGCATCACCTGGTTCTCTCAGTTCAGCTGTCATCTGATGTATAGTCAATTACCCAATCTTTTAACCTCTTAGGACTTTCTCACCCAGTTAAGATGAATCTGGCAGGGCAAGATTTCTACATTTCTTCACAAGGGAAACAAAATTAGGATAAACCGGGGTAAGGAAATTGTTTTAGCCTTACCCCAGTAGCACTTTTGTTTTATGAAAAATAGCCACTGTTGGTCTGGCCCTTTGACTTTTTATCCTCCATCCCTCAGCATCACACTGTGGTCACTGTCCCTCAAGTCTTGTCTCCAACAACATGCATCTGGATAGGCAACCTACTGAGCTAGTCCATCAGGACATAAATACCTTGGGGATAATTAACTGGGTCCAGAACTGAAAAGCAAATCAGACAGGATTGCAGTTATGGTACCATGTAACACTTTCAATGTTCTCAAATTCCTTGAGGCTTCAAAAGTCATTTTTTTTTCTCTTTGAACACAGATATTCTCCCAGTGATGCTGAGATTGTGGATCCCAAAACACCATAATCTTAGAAAAATAAAAATTAGAGGTGACCCAAAGTTCAATGGAAAATTTTGCAGTGAGGGAGCATAGGATCTATATATTACCAATGATGACTGGTGTGTGAGAAGTGTCATGCATGACAATGAAACAAAATATAGACCTGTTATGTAGCAAGAGTGAGGGATGAACAATAGATAGCCCTATTGCTGATATTCTCCAAATAAAGAAGCTGGAGAGAAGTCTCTAGTCCATTTGGTTGATACCCTATATGGGTTGGAGTGATATGGGAAGACATAACCAAGAAAATGACAGATATGAGAAGGTATAGCTGGGTTATGACCTGCTTTGGAGGATGCCCTTATGCTGATGAGATCACAGATCAATACATCAAAGTAATGACAAAAGTCTATTTGTAGCTAGATGGACATTTGTCTTAGATAAATAGTGCAGATGGATAATAAGCTGGGCCCAGAACAGAATAGAAAGGGGTGTTGGATAACTGGATTTGGTGTCAGAGAACCTGAGTTCTCATCTCAGCTTATCGCCTTGTCTCCCTAGCCAAGTCACACAACTTCTTGGGTTCTCAGTTTCCTTATTAAGCTATTCTGAGATCCTCAGATTTTCCCAACTCTTAGAATCTTCAGTTTCTTTCAAGGCTCAGCTAGAAAGCCACCTCCAATGAGAAGATTCCACAAATTTTTCAATGATGTCTTTTTCACCCTCTGATTGCTGTCTCTACATTCTACAAAGAGTATATGCTCCTTAAAGACAGGCATTTCTTTTGGCTTGAGCCTTGTAACCATAGCACCTAGCACATTGTTTTGTACAGAGTAGTTGCTTAATAAATGATTACTGTTGAGATGAATTAAACTGGGCTACATTTCATTTGGAAAACCTAACAGTAACTTTCAATGTCCTCAACTGATTCTGGAAACAAAAACCCACCTTTTTAATAGTAATATTCTTTTGTAATGATATATCTTGAATTATGTAATATTGTCTCCAAATAATAAGATTTTGGGTGGTCTAAAAGAAATGGAGAAAAACATGGTGGGTGTAAATAGTCTGTTGTATATTTCTAGAGTATTTCATTTATACATGATGTGGCATAAAATATATCACCCAGAAAATGTATGATCAGAAAAAAAAACAACTAGTTAATGAGTGAAGGATAATAAAAGGACAAGCTGAGTTAAACACTGGTGTCCATAAGATATTAAAGAAAAACACCTAGGAAAAAAAATCTGGTACTTATTGAGTGGCTCTTCTATGAAGAATTTATAAGACATAGACAAGAGTAAAACATGATGAGAAAGCCTGGATGAGTTACATTCTCAACCATATCAAAGAAGTCATAAGAACTATTGGAATATTGAACTACTTTTCATTATTGCAGTCCCTATGGCCCCAATTTGTGTAGGCAATTTAGAACTGACTCCATGTATCCAATGTTACAGCTATTATTGCCCAACCACAAACTAATGGCAACCACTAGTCTGGGACCCTAGCTAACATTCAGGGTTGAATTTAATCCCTAAATACTCGCATATTAGTTTTATAGATAAAATTTTGATTTGTTTTGTTTGTATAGACCTATGATTTTATCATTATAGGGAGACCCCTGTGGCAATGCAGATCAGCAAGTATTTTGCAACTTTCAGTCTGAGAGAATTTCTTGGGGACCTTGACTAAGAAATTTTGACTTATCCAGGGTGGCATAGCTGTCATAGGATGGCCTTGAATTTATGTTTTACTGACTCTGAATCTGTCTCTTACTCACTACCTGCACTCCTCTTGAGTTGTCTTTACTCCTTTGGAAAGCGAAATTGCTCTCACTTCAAGAAGATGGAAGGGGACAGTATGAATTGTCATCTGTTATGGTTTTAGAATAGTAGGGGTGCCATGAGAGTTGGATGCATACTTCTTGAATTTAATTTTAGTATTATCTAGCAGCTTAGGTTAAAGGCATGCTGTAATACACTGTTAGCTATCTCACAACCTTTCCTCATTCAAACCATCCTTCATCATCAACCTTCATAAGTACCATCTATAGGGGTAAAATTAGTCTGAAATACCATGAGATTCTCCCCCACCTTCCATTTCTCCATCCTGACTTGCAAAAGTATGAGGTGCCCCAATAACATGCTAAAAATTGCAGGGGAGATTTACAACAATGAGAGTGAAGCATAGTTTTATACTACCTTTGGTGTCCTGTAAGAATAGAAAGTATGTACCTCTTAGTAATAAAACCAGTAATTCTGTACCATTTACATTCCAAAGTAGTTTTCAAATGAAATGAAATGAGATGGGGCACCTCCACTACCTCTGCACAGATGGTCCCTATCCAATATGCTTGCCTCCAGACAGATCAATGGGTTTCACTTCCTAGTTGGCTCCTGCCTAACATTGCCTGTTGGTGATTTAGCTTTCTGTTTTGTGCTTGATGCGATGTCATATTTTTGGTAACATCCTCTATATCTCAGATGTGATTCCTCAAAACATTCATTTTCCCTGGGATGCTTTTGCAGGTTGTTTTTTTCCCCCTTCTTCTTTTTCAAATGCTCGGTATTATCCTCACGACGCAAAAGAAATGGACCTCATATTTCAATACCTCATCTAATAGGATTTTTGTTTCTGCTCTGATGAAATGTGGCTTAGATATATTTATTTTCTGTGCTACTCTGATTGCTAAAAAAAAAATGTTGCATGGGAGTTCTTTGTTTCTGCGTTGAAAAGTATTGAAAAAGAAATGGAAGGACTTTGTGTGCAAATGAAATCTTTGGCACCAGGTTCAGCCTAGTTAAGCACCTAAATATGTACCCTGAAGAAAATTAGGTGCTGAATTGTACACCAATGTCCTTAAGGGCATTAATTAGACCCTTAATTTTATCATGTGGGAAATGTGCCATAGTCAAGAAACACCTGGTGAAGACAAACATGAAAGGAAACAATCAAATTAAGGCACCTCCACAGAACAGCTATGAAAAGTTAAACAAAATGCCTTGTGAATAAACAGAGGGTACTATAGACAAAGGGAGAAAAATAAACATACCATCATACTGAGACTTCTAACGATATTCAAAATAATTTAATTCTATCATCAACATAGATACTGCCAGGAAAGAATAGCAATGTTTTTGATATTAGGTACAGAAGAACTCTTGTCAGTGAATCAAAATTATAGAATGAGAGGTACCTCAGAAGTCATCTAGCCCAACTCTATCATTTTACAAAGGAAAAAGCTGAGGCCCAGAAACATTAAGTGACTTTCACAAGGTTGTAGGACAGAGTAAGAATCAGAGGTGGGATTTGAATCCAGGTCCTCCTGACTCCAGAACCAGTGCTGTGTTTGGAAGAGAATTTCATATTAGTACAAGTTAGTTGCAATATCTTTACTCAAGACCTCCATCAAAGACTCAAAGTAGTAGTAGGTGATCCTGGGTTATCAAAGTTCTCAGTGGAGAGTAAATTTGTGTCAAATCTGACCAAGTTGTAAAGTATTCGAGTGTGGGCCCCACTTTGCAGGTCCACAGGTAGAATGTAATTCTGTCTTTCAAGAACCAGCCTAGCTAAGTGTGAAGAGGCTCAGCACCTAAAGTCTTGTTAATGAGTTCAGATCACTAAAGTATTGAAGGAGACTTTGGTATCACCCCCAACTCACAGGACATTCCTTATGTATTTTTGAGGGGTTTGCCCTTTATTAGCTGAAATTCAAATTTCTCTTAATTGGATATTAGCACGTTACTGCTGTTGCTCCTAGGTCCCCCTTATTTATGGCCTCCCAGAAATCTCCCTTAGGCATGAGGTACTACTTGGGACAGTACTTATTACTTGGGTCAGGATGCTCTCACAAGTCTCCTTTGCTATGTTTATTTTGTCAGCAAATGAGAGCACATTAGGTCAAAGGAAAAGACATTTGCAGCTCAGCAAAGACTCCTCCGTGCATATGTAGGGCATGTACTTCTACAAATTATCATATTACCAGAGGGAAAGGGTAGACTTGCAGAGATATGTACATGGAAGATACACATGTACATATAGCCAAAGAATATATTTTTTATATTACACTTTTTATATTACAGTTACTTGTGTCCTCTTCTGGTATAAATATGCCATTCTTTGCTGGGCACTGAGTTGAACATAGCATTTTCACTTTTTAGTGGACAGTATATGATTTCTGAGCATTTATTTCATCTCAGTTTAGCTCCATTTGACATTATATCTGCTGATTGTTTCCACTGGTATCATGGCTGCCAAGTGTTCTCTCCTGACACCCGCTACATATTAGTTGTTTAACCTCTTCAAATTAACAGTTCTCTGCTGTTATTGGGGTACAGTAACCAGTACCTGGCAAAACCTGAAAACAAGATAATAGTGTCTTTTTTAAACTTAGTTTAAAAAAAAACACCTTAACTTAGTACTCTGAGGCACCACAAAAAGAGAAGCAAGGCAACAAATGCTTTGTACAAGAAACCCCCTGGCTAAAATTTAGTCTATTCTTTTATTGTTCCTGCTTTTCTACAGATACAGGATCCTTGTTTCCAGACAACTGTCTTGCTTAGGATTAGAAAATTCCTTTTAGCTCCACTTAAATATCTGATTGTAGGTCTGTATATTAAAAACTCATTTGGGAGACTCAGCCCAGCCA